TGATCTCAAATAAGATCAACCTTCCCATAGTCTTTTGTCTAATTACCTACTTACAAATCTCTTACAAATCTTGTCTTTTTTATGTTTGTATCTCCAATTTCTGCCACAAGATTTTGCATGCAGTGAGTGTATCATGTTTCCTTGAAGAATGAAGAAGCCAGTGGATTACTGGGTGAGGGACGTACTGTGTCAGGACTAGTAACATGTCTTGCAGCTCAGACAGTGTGCCAAGCAGAAGTGAGCACTGAGAAAATCTCATGTCTAAAAAGGAAAGTCATCCTCCTGTTCAAGTCATCCTGCTAGGTAGTCCCTTCCTCAGGCACTTTACACATACCTGTTGAATGCACAGCACTCTTTGCCATGTGTTCTTGCCAGCTTTGGAGGAAACAAGCAGTTACCAGACTGACAGTCTTGCCCTTGTGTACCTCCCACCTCACAGGAAAGGCAGTCATTGACCACAGGTTACGCAGATGATTGTCCAGCTATGGAAAATGGTCTGGTGTGGCCCATGGACACCCAGCCTCTCGGGGACTTACGTAAGCAAATTCTGAGTTGTGCTAAATTCTCAAAACTGAGTTAGAGGTAGTAAGAGCAAGGGGGAAGCATGTTGTAGCCCAGGAAGCTGTGAGGATAAAGTCCTGGCCACAGAAAGGTTAAGAGAGACCAGGTTGGCTACAAGAATGACACTGGACTGTCCGACACCCAAGAGCAGAGGGGTTTGTTATAGGGTTTAGAGCAGGAACAGGTCATCGGTACACAGCTTTAAAAGGTCATATGGCATACACCATTGAAGCATTTCTCAGCTGTCACATTTCCATGACTCACAACTTCATGAGAACAGAGAAATGCTTTTGTAAATTGAAATACAGAGAAGTGGTCAAATTTTATAGCTTTCTTTTAATCTGAAGTTTATAGAGAGAGACTGCTTTTTCTGGTCTTGTCAGACATCTTATACAGTAAGTAAACACTCTTATCAGTCCTTTGGAATTGCTAATTTCACACATTTCTACTTAGTTCATTACTAAGTATTAAGAGTAGTAAACAGCTCATTGTTAAAATAACTATTGCTTTCCATGTCTATGCTGATGTTTGAGATGTGAATCTACATATGTCCTGCTGAGATTTAAATGTAGTTTTTTTAGGAGATTGGAATATAGTTCATTGGTACAACACTTACCTAGTGTAATATTTTTATATTAATGAGTAAATGAATTACAGTATTTATGACCTTATTATTCAGTTGAATTTTAAAGTAAGTTCTTGGGCTGGGGAGATGGCTCAGTAAAATAAGCGCTTGCCTGGCAAGCACAAGGGCCTGAGTTCAATCTCCAGTTCCACGAAAAAAAAAATAAAAAATAAAATAAGTTCTTCTTCTGATTAATGTAAGTTGAAAATTCAAAACTGCTTTATTCTTCTTTCTACATAGAAATTTTGTTTTCCCCCCTGGATCTTTATGAAAATATTTGGTGATCTTTAAATACCTACGGGCATTTGTATAGAGACCTCCTTCTTTAAGGGAATGCAGACTTAGTTTTTAGTTTTTGTGAAGATGTTTTTAAATTTACACTCCCTAATATGATTTTTTTTTTTGTACCAGAAATTGAACTCGAGACCTTGTACTTACCAGGCAGGTGCTTGTACTCCTGAGATATATCCCCAGCTCCCCTAGTATCTTAAACACTGTTAACCTTAGACATTTTTGAAATTGGGAAGCATTTCTAATTTAACTCTTCTTATGTGGCCTCATCCTTATTAACATGTAGACCTACAGGGCCTCAGTCACTGTGTTGTCTCTACATGGAAATAAGAAAAGGAGGCCCCAGTTGTACAGATTTTGAACTATTTACTTGCTGTTAGAAACTATCTTGAGCAGATAAATTCAACAAAGCTTGTGAATTGGCATAATGTAAAGAGAATGTTGGCTTATTTTTCCCAGTAATGTTTAGGTTTCAAGTAATTATGAAGGAAATTATTTAGACCATCGCACTTGGCTTAAGTATATCCAGAGAGTCCAGTGAACCTCAAGGTATGCAGAAAGATAAAAGTAACTATAATCACCATAATGAAATAAATGACAGAACAGAATCCAGTGTTTTTTAATCTTGAACTATTGCTTGTTTTTAAAGACTTAGTTTTATTTTGAATGATGGTAAATTATTCAGTCTGGTTTTACAGACAGTAAAACCAGTAAATAGTAACCTGAAGCAAAAACAGCCATTGAACTCTTTTATTGCTGCTACCTCTGTTGTCTCCCAGCCATTGTCCTCCTAGACCGTGGGCTGGTGGGAAGCAGCCAGGAGGAGCAGCTGTGCATCAGTCCAGGACTCAGTGGAATATCTTTCTCTCCTTTTCTGGAACTATGTGGAAAGATATCTGTATTAGCTACTTTGTAGACTTGGAACAAAATACCCAATACTCACAACTTGAAGGAATAAAAGTTGATTTGGGTCACAGTTTTAGAGGATTTGATCCAGGGTGACCTGACTCAAAGGCAGAAACGGCACAACAGAAGGGTCTGGTGGAGGACAGCGGCCCACCCATGGCAGCCAGGAAGCAGAGCTCAGAGTGCACCCAGGCCGCAGCATCAGTGGCCCCCTCTTCCACCCAGGCCCTGCCTCCTACCAACCAGTCAGCAGTGGCCTGGATGGTGCTGAACCCACCCTTCCTGCACATGGCCTCATTGCCTTCTGGAAGCCCCACCTCTGAACAGACTTCTAGGGGACGTTTTGGTTCTGAACCTTAGCAGTTTGCAAGTGGCCTGGGGACAAAACTGCTGTACTCAAGGAGTTTCTGAAGTTTTCCCATGATGCTGATACGGGTATTTAATACAGGGAGAAGGCATGAGAAAATCCATGAAGGCCATGGGAAAATGGAAGCTGATGTGTCACTATCTGGGGCCCAGAAGCTGCACTGGTCAGTGGCACAGGATGCCACGATGGGCAGGAATTCCGCAGCAGTTGCTGAGCTCACCACGCAGGACTGTGACATTTGCTTCCTTTGTCCTTGCAATGGTCTTTTACTGCCTCATTTTCTAACCCAGTCTTGAAGATGAGTAGAGCTGGGTATGCTTATCTTAGGTGCAAAAGCTTCCATTTTCAGCTTCCTTACCATAACTAAACGTTTTAAATGATTTCATGAAGGGACAGCTAGTAGATGTAGCCAGTAAAATTGGGACTCCACCTCCCTGAGAAAGGAACTGAAAAACATAAAGTCAAACTTCACTGTAGCACCACCCACCTCATTTATTAAAAATTACTCAGGTCTACATGTCCGTGGTTAGCCATCTGTTATTTTCTCTTCTGTTGCTGTGATATGTTGACATCTTTTTAAAATTTTTTTTAGCCTTTAGTGTACAGTGATTAATTTCAATGATATTCATATTTGACATTGTTTTTTATCTTCTTTTTACTTTGTTTCCTGCTTTCTGCACTCTCCTTCCTACCCTCCCTCTTCATCCCATCTTTAATTGTCGGATTGTCCCGTGTATGTGTGTCCACATCTCTGTGTGTCATTTCTGTTTCGTTTCTGTTGGCCTGGTGTTCTCTCCTTTCTGCTCATTCCCACCCTCCTGCTGCTGTAGCCCCACAGGCTGTGGACACTGGCCGAGCAGGTAGGGGACTTTTCGTCACTCCAGTGCCTGCCTCCCTGCTCCCCTCCTGCCTCGCCAGCTTTCAGCAGGGGACAGACTGGAGGCTGAGTGCAGAGACTGACTGAGGGTCTGTGGGCCTGGGCCAGGAGTACTGACCTCCAGGGCGGTGCCACTGCTTGGGTCTCTTCCAGCATTCACGTGTGTGACAGATACAGTATTTCCATGATGGATGACCAATGTTTTCCTGGCCCATTTTTTTTAATACATCTCCATTTTCTATTTTTAGTGAACTGTTTTCTGATTTGTTTGTCTTTTAATTGACCATATGTTTTTTAATAGAGTATATGTTTTGCATTATTCAAACATCAAGCCAGTTCACTCAATACTAGTCTGTAACACAGCCACACTGGAAAATCCTAAATCAGAATGAACTTTCTTTCCTTCCTTCCACTAGCACTGTTAGTATCATCTTAGGCTGGTTTGCATGTACTTTTCTTTGTCCCTACCTTGGTGATGAGGTGTCAGTGGCCAGAGTTACTGAGAAGTAGACCATCTTTCAATGCAGTGGTCTTAATTTATTTTCCCTTTTATATTTAAATGTACCTTTAATGCAAAATTGAGACACCATCTGAAAAATTTTAGTGTAGTTCCAATAAGTTCTAAGGAGCTCCCATTTGTGGCATTTATTTTGAGTTCCATCCTTTTGCATCCATGGCATTACATTGCCTTCCCAAGAACTGCATGGGAAAGGGAATTTGTCTTGTGACCTCAAGAATGTTGCTCTCACATGTGCAGAGATTGAGAAGTCACCTAGCATATCCTTTGAGGGGGTTTATGGTGCCAGGAAAGATTTCTGGCTGCGGCAGACTGTACAGTTCTGCCCAGTGGACATGGGTAAACATGCAACCTCCCTGACTCACATTACAAAAATAAATTTCTCCAGTCCTGAGGCTGGAGAAATAAGTCATAAGTAGAACTGGAAGAAAAAAAAATTGTCTTCTGTCTTCCTGCTCGATCTGTCAGCTCAAGTCATATGTTTGCTTCAGGATCCCAAGCTCTAAAAATACATATTTCTGGATGCATATTGTAAAAATCTTTCAGCAAATGATAGTTCACATCCTTGACAGCCAGCTTTTGCAGCCAACCCTTCCTTTGGGGGATTCAGCCACCTTTTACTTGCTAGAACATGTGGCATTTCTCTTTTCTTTCGTACATATGACAGGGAGTCAAGCTGTATGAAAGTCCAGGGTTATCGTAATATGCTCCATGGAGGATTTAACTTACCAAAATAAAAATTAACATGTAACTCCCCACCGCAGTTTAAGATTTTAGTAAAGACATGCTTCCCAGCTAGCACAACCCAGTTTCCTTTCATACAGTCCTGTTAACCGTGCTATGTCCTTGCTTGCAGGGAACCTCAGGACCCGACCCCACCACTGTCTACGTTGACATGAGGGCCCTGAGACATGACAGGTACAGTATGCTGGTGGGATTTTCCTTTCCTTTCCCCCCCCCCTTGTTGGTAGCCCATGTGCAGGTACTCATCTGGAAGGAAGAGAAGCAGAAATGTTTATCTGCTTGCAGTACAAGTATCCAAGGGGCAATGTTGGTAGAGTTAGTCACATTGGTTCAAGCTTTGCAGATGAAGACTTTGCTGCGTGACAGTAGTGACACGGCCGTGTTGCTTGATCTGTAAGGCCAAGCAGAACGCAGGCACTTGGTCCTTTTCCTTGGCCATTTTAGTCGAGTGCCATCCCGCACCTCATGGACTATCATCATTCTGCCCACATTTCTTTACATGAACTGAAAATATTTTGTGAAGGAGTGTCCATAAAAAGTTAAAATAGAAGTGTAGTGATTTCTTTCTGTACAGATTCTTAAGCAGTTTCTGAGCAAGACTGAAAAGTGGCATTGGTATCTGTAAGGATGCATCAGAAAGAGATGGGGGTGGCATGAGTAAACCTTCTCAGAGACTGCCTCAGCAGGATGACCTGTCAAAATGTTCCAAGGGAAAGGTACTACTGTTTTCACTGCAGATGTTCTCTGTTGAAATGGATCATGTCCTATTGAGTAATTTCGGAGTTGCCTGGCCTCAGCTTTTCCTATGGAGTGCAGACCTTGGTGTGGCATCTCTTGCAGAGAGTGCCAGAATGTTCTTAATGAGTATTTTGCCATATGGCCAGTGTTTGACTTTTTACCCTGCATTTTCTCATTCACTCACCCACTAACACTGTCACTGTGACATAATAAAATGTAGGCATAACTAGAGCAGGAATGGCTGTGTGGCTGGGAGGTGGGCATTGCAGGGACCCACCTCTGCCTGAGCAGGTGGCAGTGGGAACATGCTTTTTGGGGATAAGCACTGTCAGCTTCTGTGTGTGTGGATGAGTTGGGCCAGGGTGTGCCCATCAGAAGGGGTCGCGAATCTGCTGGCACGAGGGCCATGTTGTGTCCACTCAGCCAGATGGTCACTGCTGTATCCTCTCAGCAAAGACTCCCCTTAGGATATTTGTGTCCCTGGTAAACAGCTGGCCAGGGATGCTGCTCAGCATTCTGTAGTGCAAAGGAAAACATCAGTAGTGCCAAGAGTAAGAAGTCATACACACACATCCCCGTGTCACACTTATGGTTTGCCTGTCTGGCCTCGTAGCCCTGTTAGGCCCTCTTGATGAAAATACCCACCTGTTCTGCAGTTAGAGAATTACAGAACGCTGGTGAGGCCATATGGTACAAGCCCCTCACTCAGCAATTAGTATTGAGGGCCAAAAAATGTGAACAACTGCACCCCACCCTGCCCCTGCCAGGGCGGCCAGCCATGGTGTAGCAAAGTTCAGGATGGAACATTTCCAACTTCAGAAGCTTTGACAAGTTAAATACTTGTACTGGGCATGTATCATTTCCCAAGTAATAAGTGAGTATAAAAAAAAAATCTACTCTCCATAAAATTTGTTTGAAAAATGATTTTAGAAGTTCTTACTTCCTCAAAGAGTAAACAATAGTCAATCAGAAAATACTTGTTTCAGTAACATTTATGTCCTCAAAATTACATATAAAGAACAAATGCTGCAGTGCAGTGGTGGCTCAGATCTACTCAGTGTTGGACTGTAAATCTCTGCCTGTGTTAGGAGTACCTTGGACATCAGACAAGACTTAAAGTTGGGATGTAAAGGCTTTTCTTTCTTAAAAAGAACTAAACATCTTAGGAACTACCTTTTGCCCATTTTTTAAAAATGTGCCTTTGGGGGCGGGTAAGATGGCTCAGTGGTCTAAAGCACCTACTTAGAACAAGCTTAGCAAAGCACAGTTCAATCCCCCAGCATCAATCCCCCAGCACCACATGCCAGCCAGCCCCGCCCCCTGGTGGGCTGAGCTGGCCACACACACACACACACACACACACACACACACAAATAATAAATAACTGCAAACAAAAAAAAAAGTGCCTTTGATCTTCAATGTGGTAAACCTGACTTGCTGAGAAAAAGTATGATATAGAAAAATAAGAGCAAGCACAGAGAATGGTGAAAAGGTAATAAAAGTTGATTATCGGATCAATATCGTTTTGCTAGAAATGGCAGGAAGCCTTCATTTTCTGATCAGCCTCCTCCATGATGGGCCAATTCTTTGACTTTGGCCAAGTCAGTAATCCCAAGTGGTATTTTTATTAACTTTTGATGTAATCTGTTTTAATGATTTTCCCTGACCAGGCTGCTTGCTCATTATTTTTAAAATGTGTGAAATAGCAACAGAAGTGCTGTATGACCTGGACCCTGCTCTGTGAAACAGTGTGAAGCTTAGTGGTGGGTAACAGGACTGTGATGGCCAACAGTGCTATCAGCCCCTGCTGTCGTGCTGCCAGTGCTCACACGCGCGCGCACACACACACACACCCGTATCCGTGTAGGCCACAGTCGTGTGTGTTCTTTGGTGTCACTACAGTGAGGTTCCCTCACTCATATTCCCAGCTCCCTCTTCCGCCAGGAGCACTGAAAGGAGCCTGTCAGACAGCAGCGTGTCCTTGTGAGATGACTGCATCTTACTCCTTTTTGGTGTTTGACTTCCAGTAAGTAGGAGCTGAGCCCTACTTCCGACGGTTACGTGACGACCTTGCCCTTGCTTTTGGGGAGCTACCCCTGCCCTCCTGGGTTCCCTAGGCTGAGGTGTGCTGTTTCTCCCCACAACCCAAGACTTACTTTCTCTCCCCCTGTCTCTTTTACTGCCTTCAGGATGTCCTACAATTACAGAATTCTTGCTGTCACTTCTTTTGCTTTAATGATACATTCAAAGGAAGGCTAATTTGGGGTGCGGAGATAGCTCAGCAATCTAAGTGCCTTCCTGACAAGAGTTCTTGCTTGCTTGCTTACTTGCTTGCTTTTTTTTTTTTTTAATGTACTTGGTACAGGGTCACACTACACAGTAGTGCCTCCTGTCTCAGCCTCCCCAGCACTGCAATTACAGGCGTGCACCACCGTGCCTGGTTTTGGTGGCTGCCTCAAGGGGGCTGGCATGGATTGTTGTGCTGGGGATTGAACCCTGGCCCCTGTACTTGCCTAAGCAGGCATTTAGTCCACCAAGCTATCTCGCCGGCCCTTCATTTCATCTTTCTGACCAGGTCTGTCAGCCCTCTTGCTGGCCACAGGCTGCCGTTACCCTCTGCACCACATAAGAGTCCTCACCCCCTTCTTCCTTACTCCCAGAGCAGAAAATCTTAGCAGTCCCTCCATCTGCCATGTGTCTCATGTGTCAGGGCCAGCCTCGCCTTACGATTCCCTACTCCCCAAGCAACCCCTTATTGCTCACATGTGGAGAGCCCAACTTTGCCCCTACTTTCCCCTAGTCCTAATGATATTCTGTTTCTTTCAGCCTCACCTCAGACACATCTCTGTGAAACCTCCCCTCCATAGTCCCAGGAGAAATGTTAAACAGTTGTTAAATCTCTAGTGTCAGTGGGGCTGAGGAGATAGCTCAGTAGAATAAGCACTTGCCTGGCAAGCACAAGGTCCTGAGTTCAATCCCCGGTCCCGCAAAAAAAAAAAAAAAAAAAAAAAAAACCCTCTGGCATCAGTGTTTACCTTTTCAACACATGTGAAATGTGCATTGTGGGCATCTACTGTGACATATAGAGGCTTGAGAATCAGACAAAAAAATGAAGTAAAGTCATGTATTGAAAGAGTTTTAGGAGTTCTTCACATCTTCTGAACAATATATTAATTTGACATCCTAGAATGAAATTTGTTAAGCTTTCTCAGTGCTTCTAACCTAAAGTTGTAATTAAAGGGTGTCACCAGAAAAGTGTGGACTACTGAATTAATTTTTGGCCAGCAGGTGGCTGAGTCCCCTAGTCCTTAGAGTAGGGAGCAAAGAATAAAGACAAATGGGTAGACTTGACACTTAATCAGTAGCAGGATGAGAGGAGCTACGAAGTAGGTGAGAGAGACTACTAACCAGGGTTCTTCTGATTAGTCAGTTGCTGTAGTGTGTGGTTTGTAGTGTGTGTGCTGTGTATGTTTGTGTTTGTGCAGGTATTCAAGTGTACATCTGTTGCTCATATGTTGTATATGGCACTTTCTATGTGTGTATTCCTTTGCATGTGTGTGCTGTGTATGTATGACAGTGCGTGTGTGTCAAGGATGCTGCATGTGTTTTGTATGTGCTGCACATGTGCATAAAAGTTTGTGTACAAAGGTGTTGTATATATTGCAAATACATGAAAATATGAGGGTATTGTGTGTCTATATCAATTAATGTGTGTAGTGTTGCCAGTGTATAGAGTTTTAAAGTGAGAGTACACATGTATGCCTTGTGAGTGCAGTGAGTGGTGTCCATATTTTGTACATGTGCAGGTACACTACCTGTATGTGCATTCACATGCAAGTGTTCCATGTGTACTAGTGTTTCATGTGTGTCCAGTGTATGTGAGCACACATGAGAAGGATTCCGTGGTAGGGTGCCAGGGTCTTCAGCTGGGCTTTTGCCATTGCTTCTAGTCATAGTGCCCTGGGAACTGGACCCGAGTGGTGTTCACTCTTCTTTGCTAAACAGCTGTATATCACATAATCTCCTGGTGACTGTCCAGTAAGTGAACAAGGATAGTCTCACTGCTCTGTGTTTTGTACTGGCCTCGGCCTGCTCCCCCAGGCAGTCTCTGAAGTGATGAATCAGAGAGGTGCCTTGAAAGATTAGGCTCAGAGCCTGACCTTGGGGCTCAGTTCTGCACTCTCTAATGGTGTAATCCTGCACACATTGCCTTCTTGTCTTTTATTTTACTGTCAATTAAATGTGGACTGTAATACTGATGCTTAGAATTATTATGATGACTTATGATTCCATACCTCTTAATTGCTAAAACACAATCACAGGAGTTGGCGGCCTCAGTATGTGCTATCTTGTGTTGTTGGACTGTAGATCATCTCTAGGTCAGTTACAATATCTAATGCAATGTAAGTACCTATGTAAATAGTTGCTGTCACTTA